CTTCCCTGGCGGTCCAGTGGTTAAGACTTCACCTTCCAATGCAGGGGGTGTGAGTTCGATCGCTGATCAGGGAGCTAAGATCCCACATGCCTCGTGGCCAAAATACCAAAACATAAAACAGAAGCCATATTGCAACAAATTCCATAAAGACTTTAAAAAATGGTCCACATCAAAAAAACAACAACAACAAGCAAGAAGTAGCGTCTCTCTCCTTCTGATCCCTTGCAGGAACCCGCAGCGCCACAGGGAGGGCAAGGATCAGACTGAAGGGTTACCCGGCACCCAGGGAGGGGGGTGAAGGTGGGCAGCCAGTCACCGAGCTACCTTCCTTCACAAGATGAGGGCCCCACTGTCTAGCTCAGGAAGCCGTCAGGAGCAGGCCTGGGGACAAGGAGTGACAAAGGCATGAGTCTCCCATCATGCTTATCGCTAAGTCACGGTCACATCTCCCTCCCCCACCAAACAAGACAGAGCATGGGCTCTGGAGCCAGACTGCCCCCATCCAAATGTCCAAATCCCTGCTTCTCCCCTCGATGTGGGACTCTGACTTAACTCCTCTGGGCCTTAGTCGTTCCTCTCTCAAGTGGAGGTCCGGTTCATACTTCCCTTGCAGTACTGACATCAGACGACACGTCAGGAGCCCAGAGAGCATCTGACACGTGGGCAGTACTCCCGAAACGTTCACCATCATTTTGAACACCGAGGGTCCTCAAGGCGAGATCAGGGCCTGATCCACCTCTGCTTGCCCTTAGATTCGAGAGCTAATGTGTTGACCTAAAGCCCTAACTTCCAGTCCGGCATCTCAAGTCTGCCTTCCTAAACGTCACTATTGATTTCCATGGTGTCTTTTTGGAAGGATAAAGCAGTTTTAACTGCAACCAATGAATAATGGAAGATATACTAAATACACCTCTGAAGAAACTTCCTGGAGCCACCCTGAGTTCCCTGAGATGACCCGATAGCCCAAGGACCGCTGAGAGTGAGGGGCCCTCACAGGTTCTGATTTTACCGGATAAGGTGCTCCTCCCGCGTGCAGGAGAAACGCTCTGAGGTTTCATGTGTGTGCACCTGTGGCACCCTGGTGGAGAGAGTCGAAGGCAGCAGGAAGCCTTGGAAACCGTGGAGGTTGTCTTTCCCACTCCTAACATGAAACATACGTGTGCAGTGCTGTCGTCTGCAAAGCTCTTTCCCATTCCCTGTCTTATATGAGCCTTCAAACAACCGTGCAAGGGAGGTAGGACAGGGATTCTCCCCACTTCACAGATGAAGAAACAGGTTTAGAGAAGGTCAACCCACGGTGAGCTAAGAACTGAAATTTCAGGCTCCAAGTTCTGATTCCAAAGCTGTTTTTTGACTCCAAATGTCAATTTCCTGTTCTAGCCATTTGTAAGAATCATCTTGGGACAACACTGGGTAAAACTACAGAATCTCAGCCACTAAAACCCCAAATACCTAGGGCTGGGACTGGGAATCTGCATTTTCGACAAACTTTCTAGGTGACACTAAGTGCAGTCAGGTCCAGATACTTTTGGACCTGACTGCAGATGGCTTTTGGAAAACACTGCCTGATATCACACCACCTCAGACTCTGTGCTTAGACACCTTCTGAGTTTGTGTGGGTTGCTAGAACAGAGTGTCATGGACAGGGTGGCTTACAAACAAAAGAAATGCATGTCTCACAGCTCTAAAGACTGGAAGTCCAAGACCAAAGGGCCAGCAAGTCGGCGTGTGGTGAGGGTCTGCTTCTTAGTTCAGAAACAGCCATCTTCTAGCTTTAACCTCTCGTGACAAGGGAGCTCCCTGGGGTCTCTTTGATAAGGGCACTGATCCCATAAATGGCAGCTCTGCCCTCATGACCTAAGCATCTCCCCAAGGCCCCACCTCCAAATACCATCACATTAGGGGGTTAGGATTTCAACATACGAATTTGGGGGGAACATTCAGTTTACAGCACCCTCCTTGTGCTCTACCCCCAATGCTAAGGGTCTAATCTCTTCCTCCCAACATGCGCCTCTCCCTGGATCCCCTCATACTACTAACAGCCCAAATCCCTTGAGAACTCGTGTGCCATGCATACCGTGCACACTATTCATTTAGTCTCCCCACAGCCCTAATGGTCAGGACTCCCGTCTTACAGATGGAGGCCTCTGGGCAAGCACGAGTGAGCTGCAAGCTGTGAACCCCAGGCCGTGACCACGGAGACCACACTGTGTGGCTTTGTGCCACCCTGTATCGCCCCATCCTGTGTCCCAGCCCCCTTAAAGTTCTGCCAGATTTTCTGATCGTGGGACAAAAACAGATGGTCACTAAAATGACAGTGACTTATTCTGGCCTCAAAGATGAGCTCCCCATGTCCAGGTCCCATCTTTCTTTTAGCAGGAAATCCCAATTCCATCAGCTGATGGGGAAAAAGCAAAGATATGCCCCAGACTTGAAGACATAAAGACAAGTAGCAACACACTCCTACAGCTTGGGGACCAGGCTAGAGGGAGGGGACCCCAAGTCTGAACGCCCCAGGGCCATTCTGCTCCAAAGTACAGGAAAATTATCAACTGCTTAGAGCACCGCTAGACAGAACATTCTATGGTGCCTTCCTCTACGCATGTTTCACTCTGAGGAATATACAGTCAGAACATAAGCTCAGGTCAAAGGTTTAATTCTTTGAAGGAAAAAAAAAAAAGACAAGAGAAATTTCTCAGGATTGGCCTGTGGTCTGTTAGAGATGCAGCCCACCTCCCAGAACAGGAGCGAGAGGCTTGCCTGGCCGTGTCCCGTGGGCTCCCAGACGCCGGAGGTTGGAGGCGAGGAGGGTGCAGGTTCCCGGGAGGCCACTGGGCCCCCCTCACCAACCAAAGCAGCCCCACTTGATCTGTGAGCCGGGTTTATGTATCTGGGTCCCACAGATTTGCGGGAGAAAAGGTGACATTTTAAAAGGAAAACTGGGATCAGATGCAACTCTCCAAAGTACACAATGAAAACTGAAGCCCCAGAGGGGCCTGAACGACTCGTCCAGGGCCACACAGCTGACAGAGGCCAGACTGGAATGAAAATCCGGTATCTTTTGTGTTAAATCAACGTGTGGCACCTCCTCCTAGCCCTTGGGTCATGCTTGGCGGTCATCACTGACACGCACCACTCTCACGTAAGGCAGTGACAAGCAAAAACCCAGCCGCCGGCCGGCCGGCGGTCCAGCGGAGGCCGAGACAAGGCAAATCAGGGACCAGTGCATGCACCTGTGCCCCGCATGAGCGCAGAGGAGGGGTCGCTGGATGCCGCCCACCCGAGGGCAAGGTGAAAACGACGCGGGGAAGTAGTGCGTGTGAGCTGAGCTGAAGGATGAAGAAGGGGAGCTGGCGGAATAGAGGTCACTCGCACTCACTCTGGTGCAGGAGGCCCTGCTCAAGGGTCACCTGGAGAGGCGCTGTGACAAGCATTCAGGCCCTGCCCATCGCCACAAAGGAGTTTCCTTCTGGGAAGAGATGGCCTTTCCAGGTACTGAGCACCTACTGAGGCTGAGCTCTGCCCGCCTGATGTCTCTTGAACCCGCCCTGCAAAGCAAGTGGTATCATCCCATCTCACAGAGGAGGTAACTGAGGCTCAGCAAGGTTAAGAGAACTGCCCAGTGTCACACAGCTGATTAACGGGCAGGGCCAGAATTTGAACCAGAGTGTATATGCTCTTTCCACAATCCCTGACTATGAAATGTCAGCAAAAGGAGACTGGAATTCAAGCTGAAGGTCCCAGCCACTGAATCTAGAAGGGTCTTTCCTGCTGAGAAACGTAATGCCACAGTCCTGAGAAAACACAATTCTCTCATCATGTTCCGTATCAAGGGTTGAACATGAACTAGAAATTGAAGTTGGCTGTGGTACAACAAGCTGATAGGTGTTGAAGGCCAGGGTATAGGGAACTAGAGCGAATGACAGGGACCAGGAGAGAAGGGAGGAAAACCAGGTGGGGGAGGAAGTCCCTCCTGCCTTCTAAGCAGTGATCCTCTCCCCCTGGCAAGCGCGCGCACACACACACACACACACACACACACACACACACACACACACACACACACACACACACTCCCCATGTACACGCAACATGCAATACACACACATCATGCACGCACACACAACACACACCATGCACACACACACATATGCACATGCTCATGTACAAATGCATGCACACATATATACACACAGGCACATTCATACACATGCTTGTAACCGCTACCACCATCTTGCCTCTTAGCATCCTCATCTTGTAAAGCCACCTGACTCACATGGATTCTTTCCTTATCCTCTGCTTACAGACAGCCTCTCCTCCCATCCTGTAGTCTCAGAGCAGAGACATCAGATCCGCGGGAAACCCTCACCAAGGCCTGAGTGGCTCCGGCCGCCAGGCAGAGGCCCAGCGTCTGCCAGTGACTGGTAAAGAACAGAGCTGGTGTTGTCCTTTGGCAGGGCCATAAAGAAACAGCCAGCCGCTTGAGGCTCACATCCTTCTCCAGCAAAACTGAATCGGGACCAGAGCCGCCTTCTGCAGTGGCCAGTTTGGGGGTTACAGCTGCCCTTGCATTCTGTTCTCTGCCCTCCAGGGACTTCAGCTGGGTCTGGGCTTACCAGCAACAGCCAACTCAGCCCTAGGATAACAGGCACAAAGAGCAAATTAAGTCAGATCCTGGCTGCAGCAAAGGTCATAAAAACAGACAACACTGCAGGGGAAACCACGCAACAGTTATCAAACAGCCGGAGGACCCAGTAACCATCTGGGATTTTGCCAGAACCACCAGAACTAAGGGGCCCTACGGCTGGTGGCTCACTGAGGCTCAATTAGAACAGTGTCCCCATGACCCACTTTATTCCAGCCAGATTTTCTTGCTGGGTCCAGTTCACATGCCAACAGCATGTACGGGCCACGTGGCCTCAACCCTAACATACGTGAGGCTCCCTTTTTATCCTAAAATGACATTTAGACATAACCCACTTACAGACCATTTTTAAAAAGCAATTTAATGCCCAAACGGAAACATAAAGGAGAAATAAGAAGAAAGCAGTGTTTTAATACATGTATTTCAGTCTGTGAAGCTCAAGCACGGCGGCCCGCGGAACCCCAGCGAAGGTGCCAGAGGTCCAAGTTTGTACGTGAGAGAAGGGAGAGGATCAGAAGCCGTTTCAAACAAGACACAGCAGAAAATCAAAGAACAGAGGCGAACACCAAATAAAAATCCGCACTGCATTAAGCAATAACCGATGAGACCTTGTAGAAGTAATTTCTCCATGAGTGTCAGCGGGGTATCTGCCAGCCCCGTAACCCGTGGAATGCCACTCCACTGCGCTGACGTCCCCGAGCACTGCGGGATGCGCCGCTTTCCTGGGCTCCGTCCACCAACGATGGCAACAGCCAAAAACCGTCCCCTCCATTTGTACGAGGCCCCAGGGGAATGGCCTCAGACCACCCCTCCTCCACCTGAGCCTCCCCAGCCAGGCCTCTTATGTCCACGTGCTTCTGCCCTATGGGGGACGAGGGCTGCAGGCCAGCAGGAGCTTGGGGATCAAGAGGGTACGGACTGGCCCTCCTGGGGTGTAGCACTCCCCTTCCGGGTGGGGGCAGGCATTGTAAGATGACAGGGACATCCGGTTACTCACAATCAGGTACACGGTGGCTCACGCAGCCCCCGAACCACCCCTCCAAAGCCAACCGGGCATTCAGTGTGCAGGGTGTCCCCTCCACCCACCCAGCCTCACTGCACCAGGTGGGAGTTCCTGCCTGGGACTGGGTACACAGGACATCCAGGTCACCTTCTACTCGGTGCGCAGGTTCTAAGGTCAGCACGTGATGTAAGAACCTGCATATACCCAAAAGCACTCTCTAAAATTTACCCATGCACAGGCACCACGTTAGAGATTAGCATACAGACCCTTGGTCTATCCAACACAGCGGGTTCGTTCTCCAGTCTGGGAACAGAGCTCTGTCTCTTTAATTGGGGCACACGTGTGGGGTGCTTACCCTGAGAGCCGCCATGCTGTGAGGAAGCCCACGCCGCACGGGGAGGCCCCATGTAGGTGTTCCAGCCGAAAGCCGCCATCGACCACCAGGCATCTGGGTGAACCAGCCTTCAGCGCCCCTGCCCTTGAGCCACCCCAGCCTTTGATACTTCCAGGTGAGGCACCAGATGTCATGGAACAGAGATAAGCCATCCCACCATGGCTGTGTCTGAATTCCTGACCCACAGAATGAGGAGTAAAATGGTGTACATTTTTGCCTAAGTGCACTAGTTGGTGTGCGTAAGAGGCAGCTAATTTCTGTCTATCTTTCAACATTTCAGAATCACTCAGCTCCACAAAAGGCCCAGACTAGCAGAGACACACCAGAACTGAGACTGACCGAGGGAAAAGTAAAATCAACCCCGCGCTCAATCAGGGCTTTAGTTCACAGGCCAGAGGCAAAGCCCCCACTGCTTAAGTTATTTCTCCTAAAGCAATGTGTGTAGATGAATTCTTGTAGCTTAGACACGTGATAGATTCCGCCAGACGGGCTCCAGAAGGACTTGTAGCTTGACAGAGGAGCTGAATTCTCTGGAAGGACACACCCGGGTTTGCATGCAATTGTCCAGAGGAGCCAACAGTGAGTCAACTCAGAGACCTCGGCCAATCTCCTGGGCAAACGTGAGTGGCGGGCTCTGGGGGCAGATGTGCGACGTCAGATGATGGTGCAGCCACAGCAGTACCTCTCGGGGTAATCCACCACGTACACTTTGTGGTCGGTGCCGTAGATGTAGTAGACGTACGTCTTTCCTTGGTACCAGTAACGAACTTCCGTGAGGGGGACCAGTTCAATGGTCTGGCGCTGAGGAAACAATTGGCCAAGAAAAACCTCAGGGTTCTGTTCAAGTCACTCGCCTGCTCAAGAACCTTCAGTAGCTCCCTACTACCTGTGGAATGAAGTTCAGGCTCTGGACTTGGCGTTTTGCCTCCAACCTGCCTCCTAGATGTATCTCTTACTACGCCCCTTCACATACCCTAAGCTCTGGCCCAAACCGACTTCTCGTCTTTAACCACCACCTCATTCTAAGTTTCATGAAGCGGTGGGGTGGGGGGAGGGGGCGCACAGGCAATCCCCAGGGGAGTTGCAGGATGTATGGAACTCCACCAGCCGAACAGGACATCTTCCAGAAGCGGTAATTTTTAGATGGGAGGGTGGACAGAGTGGAGTGGAGAAAAGTGGAGGACAAAGTCATTTTAAAAATTTTTCTATTAAAACAACCATGGAGATGTTAGGGAATGTATTATGCAATTTGAATTAAATTTTAAGATAAAATGTTGACACCAAAGAAATTCCAAAGTTTGGTGGGCTGCTTCAGGCTATTTTCTCAGACGCTTCCCTCCCTGCACCAGAGTTTTGCATCAACCCTCCTTTGAGAAAAGTCTTTCTCAAGTTTTCCCCTCCTTTCACACATGGGGAAACTGAGGCCCATGGAATTTCAAGCTTGCAAGATCATCCAGGTCAAGCCCCACCTCCTGGCTGGACCTATTTCAGGCTCAAACCTCCTCCCTGGCATCCCTGTCTACTCGAGAGCCCGGGGCACTCACTCCCCCCATGAAGAGGGGTCCTAAATCCCTTGTTCTCTAGCCCCTTCTCGGAGCACTTACTCAACAATCTTCCAGAATCACGGGGCAGTGAACGGGATGCCCTGCCGCCTCGGAGCTGACACTGACTCCTGCTGAGACACCCAGGTCATTGGCTTTGGCACTGATTTGTTACGGAAAACTACGGGTGCAACCCACAGAGCAAAGTGACTCCTCAGCCCCAGCAAAGCTTTCTCGGGACGTACCGTGGGCCAGGCTCGGTGCCCAAACCCTAAGTTCTTGTGCACAAGCTGCTCCCCTGTCCCAGACTCGGATGTGGGGACCCCAACCCTGGAGGGAGGTGGTGTGCTTGGCCCAGGGTCAGACCCTCCTACTTGCAGGAAGATCCCCTCCTTGGGAAAAGAGCCCAAGTCCTCTCGTGGGAGATGATGGTCCTGAGGCCCCTGGGGAAAGTGGGGAACAGGCCGGGAGAGGATGTTGAGCAGAGGGCTCCCTACGCTGGGAGGTGCGGGTTGGAGGGGTGGCAGAGGGAGTGACACTGTAGCAGGAGGCGGGGGACTCAGGGTCAGGGCACGCACTTCCCATGAAGCCGTCTGCGTGACCTCCCACTTCCTCTCTCTGGGCCTCCATTTCTTCATCTGTGAAATGGGTACAAAAACTTCTATGTCATGGAGTTGCTGAGAAAACCAAATGAGACGGTGAGACTGAGTTTTCTCCGTGTGCCGGAAAGCGGCCTCCAAGGGGGATAACTACGGAACGAAAAGGTAGACGATCCCTCTTGCCATGTTGGCACAGGAGACCCAACGTGGGAACCACGGGGCAAGAGGGGAGGGGAGCCAGCCTCTGCTCAGAAAGCCTGGGCCGCGGGTCAGACCACTCTTGTTTCCAAACTCTTCTACTACCCGACACAGAGCAAAACCACAGCAGCCCCACCCCACGTGCCTCCATTTGGATTCTAAAGGTCTCCAGGTTGGGGACCACAGGTTGGCCAGGACATCAACGGCCATCCAGTGGTCATCTCGTAATCGGACGTGTATCTGCTGGAACCCCTTGACTGTGCCCCTGGGACGAGCAGATTCCAGGTCTGAGAGGAGGGGCCGGGGCCCCGCGTGTGACAGCTGGTCCCTCCCTGGATTCTACTCGCTAACTTCCTAACCCTGAACAAAATATCGGCATGAACCTTTGTCTGTAGATCCTGGGCCCAAGGACGATTTAGGACAAAGAGTCACAGAAGTGGCCTCTTCTCCCTTTATGCTCCCTTTTAAAGAAACATGCACGTCTGCCCCTGGTGCACCCCTCCCTGCTCCAGGTCTGGTCCACAGATGGCTTGTGTCGCCCGAGATGGGGCTGTACCATCAGGGAAAGCCCGGGAGCCCCAGGGTCTAGACAGAGGCCTGCTGCCAACACGCAGTGTGATCTTGGGCAGGCACTGCCCCTCTGCCAAATGAAGGGTCCAAAAAGGACTCAAAATTGTCAGCCTCAGCAGCAGAAACGTCCCAGGAGAAGCACCTGTGTCCGCAAGCTGCTGCAATCCTGCCTCGTCCTCTGGCCAGTCCTACAGTAGTGCTACAGTACACAGCTCACTACTGGGCGGTCTTCACTGTAATGCCCACCAGACTGTACCAGGGCTGCAGAAGCAAGGCCCCTTAGAGACCGGGCTGGGATTCTCCGTGGATGGGGCTGAAGAACAAACGTCAGCTCCAGGCAAACAGCCGCTGAGGTATGGCTGACACTCAGAGCGTCACTACCCTCACCGCCCCCTTGTCTGACCCTCTTCCTGTTCCGGCTCCCCCACCCCTTTACCTGTTTCCCCTGGGAGCCCTTCCTTAACAAATGTCTTGGGCTTCCCTGGTGGCACAGTGGTTAGGGAGCCGCCTGCCAATGCAGGGGACACAGGTTCGAGCGCTGGTCCAGGAAGATCCCACACACCGTGGAGCAACTAAGCTCTGAGCCTGTGCTCTAGAGCTTATGAGCCACAACTACTGAGCCCATATGCCACAACTACTGAAGCCCGCACACCTAGAGCCCATGCTCCACGACGAGAAGCCACCGCAATGAGAAGCCCGCGCACCACAAAGACCCAACGCAGCCAAAAATAAAATAAATTGATAAAAAATAAAACAAACGGGCTTCCCTGGTGGCGCAGTGGTTGAGAGTCCGCCTGCCGATGCAGGGGACGCGGGTTCGTGCCCCGGTCTGGGATGATCCCACATGCCGCGGAGCGGCTGGGCCCGTGAGCCATGGCCGCTGAGCCTGCGCGTCCGGAGCCTGTGCTCCGCAACGGGAGAGGCCACAGCAGTGAGAGGCCCGCGTACCGCAAAAAAAATAAATAAATAAACAAAAAATGACTTGCACACGGATCCTCGTCTCAGAGCTGCTTCTGCGGAGCCCAACCTAAGGTAAGGTCCAACCGCGCCCCTTTTACAGATGAGGACATCGAGGCCCGTGAATGGAAGGGCCAGGAGCCATGACTATGTGCCAGAGCTGGGAAGCAGGACATAACCTGGGAAGTGACTCGCCCCTGCAGTATCTGCCAGGCGACAAGGGCACTGCCTCGTCCGGCTGATAGCCCTGCAAAACTACGCTGGCTTTCACAGTCGCTTGTGTGCCTTGAGTGTGGCAGATAATAACATTTCCCTTGGAGTTGGGAAATCTGAGTTCTACTCCTGGGCTCTTCCACTGAGAAGCTGTGTGACCTTGCCTAAATTACTTCCACTGTCTCGGCTTCCTCTGATTTATCGGCAAAGTCATGGCTTTGGACTAGACCAGGGGTAGCCAAGGATGCCCACAGGCCAAAGCTGGCCCAGCAGTCCATACAGTGCTCTTAGCATTTTTAAAATTTTGCTTTCAGTATTGAAAAACTGGAAGATTTCATGTAAAAATGTGTATTTCAGAAGGTCTGAAATCTCTGCCCCTGCACTGCACAGAGCTGAGGGGAGGCGGGGCCCTCTGGGTAAGGGGGCCTCCTACTCACAGCACCCCCCACCCAGGCCTTTCAGTTTGCAGTGCCCCCGTTTCATCCTCTCTGAGGTGCATTCCAGCTCCAAGACGGTCATTATTAATTTTAAATTAAATGCATCCTTTTCTCTCCTGCAAACAGGGTAAGCGTGCAGGAAGAGAAGCGGAATACTCATTGCAAAGGGAACGGAAGGCACAGGGACATTTTGAGCACCGGGTTCCACGCACTTAAAGCAAATGATCTCATCCCTACCAAGCCCTCTGAGGCGGTAGTAATATCTTTTTCACGGGTGAGAAACTGAACTTCAGGAAGGCGTTTGTAGCTGGCCCGGGACCACTCTGGGACGTGGAAGAGCCAGGATCTGCGCCCAGTTTGTAAGACTCGGACCCCCGACAGAGCCCTCACGGAGCTCAGGCGCTGGGCTTTCCCTTGCCAACCCCCCGCCCCATCTTCCATCCCCGTTTCCTTTACCCCGTCCCCTGCCGCACACGCCCCGCCCACCGCGGCTCCTGGGGACGCGACGGGCACCAGCGCCACCTAGTGGCCAGCAGGATAACAGCCGCACAGCAGCGCGGGCCGTCAGCCCTGCCCTTGGGGGCCTGGGATTTGGGAAGTGCCCCGGGGGGCCGGACGCTGGGTTCCAAACCTGCCCTTGCACCCTATATCTCGAGCTTTCCCTCCCCTTCCCTGAATACCGGGGGGGGGGGTGGTGAGAATCGAAACGACACTGAGCCACATTCCTGCGTGAAACCCTGTAAGCTCCCTGTCGCTCGCAGGATATAACAGTCCAAACTTCTCCCCGTGGCCTTATGTCTGACCAGCCCTGCTCTCTGACCTCCGGTCACTCTGGCCCCACGTCAGTGCCTAGTACCTCTGTTCTCCTCCGACTGGTGCTCCACCCCTCCCCCCCTTCCTTCTGCCCTGCCACTCTCAAGAAGGAACCTCCCCACAAAGGGAGGAGCCCGTTCCCTCCTTTTCGTCCACGGGGACAGTGTCCTGGAGCCCCAGCAGACCCGGCACCTCACCTTCCACCAGCCCCGGTCCCCACCCCACCCCCCTCAGCTCACCTGCTGCAGCACGCGGGCTCGGGAGGCCAGCGCAGCGCTGTGCTCGGCGATACCCCGCTGGGAGGCCAGAGAGATTTCCCGCAGGGGGAAGTCCACGATGGGGTACACCTGGGGGGAGACGCAGACCACCTGACCCGGAGCCTCAGCACCTGGAGCCTTGGAGGGCTGATGGGAGCACGAGGCCGGAAAGGGACGGGCCCGGGCCAGGGGCGAGCGGGATGGGTGGGGCTTGTTAAACCCAAGCGGACCATTGATCATCCACCTTATAGCGTCGGGAACTCCAGCCAATAAACGAGGGCCGTAGACAGACTACCCGCCCACCCGGCGCGCCTTCCCTGCTGCCTAACTCAGGCTAGGATTGGGCGCAGGGTTTCCTAGAGGGGTGATGCCTGAAGTGAGCCTTTAGAGAGCCTAGTGATTGGGGCAAAGAAAGGAAGGTGAGGACTATTATGAAGCCATAAAGAAGGAATTCCTGCCATTTTCAACAACATGGATGGAAGAGGGCATTATGTTAAGTGAGATAAGTCAGAGAAAGATACACACCCTATGATCTCACTTACATGTGGAATTAAACACAAACTCCTAGATACAGAGAAGAGATTGATGGTTTCCAGAGATGGGGATTGGAGGGGTGGGCAAAAGGGGTGAAAGGGGGTCAATTGGTACAAACTTCCAATTATGAGATAAATAAGTCTTGGGAGTGTGAAGTACAGAATGGTAACTACAGTTGATAATACTGGATTGGATATTTGAAAGTTGCTGAGAGTAGCTCATAAAAATGTCTCATCACAAGAAAAATCATTTTAACTGTGTGGTGATGGACGTGAACTGGATTTATTGTGGTGATGATTTCACAGTAATATACAAATATCAAATCATGATATACACCTGAAACTAATAAGCCAATCTGAAACAGCTACATACTGTTAAAAAAAAAAGGAAGGAAGGGTGGGAAGAAGGAAGAAAGCAAAACCAAAAAAAACTGAGGATGTCCCAAAAGGCCAAATTCCCTTCCCAGGCCGACAGCAGGGAGCCACAGGGCCAGAGTAGATACTCACGTTTGAAGGCCATAGGGTCTCTGTCTCGACTACTCAACTCTGCCCTCGAAGCACGACAGCAGCCACAGACAATACATAAACAAGTGGGCTGTGCTCCAATAAAACTTTATTTATAAAAGCAGGCCAAGGGCCGGAATTTGCCAACTGCTAGTGTACAAGACCCTCCCTGATCTGGCTGCTGGCACCTGTCATGTCTTAGCTCCTTGCTCCGCCCAGCTCGCTGCCCTCTGCCGCTCCTCGAGGCCTCTGTCGTGCTGCTTCCTCTGCTGGACACCCTGACTCCCATACTGTCACACCATCCACTCCCCCAAGGCACCGCTCTCCACCACCGACACCCTGCCCCTTCCTGTCTCTCTGCCTCGCTTGTGTATTTCTCAATGGCTGACAGTGTGGTGAAAATGCTCTTATTACCCTCTCCCTCACCCACTGTGAGATCGGAGGGCAGAGATTCTGTTTTATGGTATCCCCATGGCCTAGAATGGTGCCTGGTATAGGAGGAGGGTCTCAAGATTTGTCCAAGGGAAGGAGGGAGGAAAAGAGGGAGAGAAAATGAACAGGGGAAGAAAGGAGGGTTGAATATGTAAAATTCAAGACAGAAACTGCCCCATGGGGTTCCAGCAGCCTCTGTCCCCGCCCAGCCTTTCTGAATGAATGCATCGCCTGCAGAACCAGAAGACCCGGCCTCACAGGTGGAGGAGGGACCCAGCTCCCTTTAGGGCGGTAGCAAAGCCCTCCTTACCATCGTGTTTTCATCCTTAAAGAGTGTCTCTCCTCTGGCTTTAGCAAGCAGGTCCCCGGGGCAGGCCAGCTGGTGCTCAGACACAAACTCAAACAGGCTGTTCTTCCTGGAAGTGAAGAGGATGAGAGACAGAGCCCGGGGGTCGGGTTAAGCCCTGGGTTTGGAATCAGGCAGATAGGGGCTGGACGGCTTGCCGTGCTACCGGTGGGACCCTGGGAAAGTGCTTTAGCCTCTCTGGGCCTCAGCATTCTCGCGCGTAAGATGGAAAACTAGTAAAGTACGGACAGTTCTGTTCTAGCAAGGTACCCGATAGGAGAAACCCTTAATGCGTGGGAGCTTCCCTGACGTGGGGCCTTAGGACCCTGGGACTCCGTCTCTCCCAGCAGGTCCCTGCACTGTGAAAGCCCCAACCAAGTGGAGCTTCTCTGCAGAAACCAATCCAGGCCATGTCCCCCCAGGCCACCCCGCCAGGCCATGGCATTCAGAGGTGCTACGTACCACACGATGACCAGCTGGAGGAAGTGCAGCAGTTTCTTCTCGCCCTTGCAGGTGGCACAGGTCTTGTTCCCCCTCCCTGAGCATGTGCTGCATCTGAGAGGGGCCCCATCAGTACCACTCAGATGGTCGTGGTGTCCCAGTGGCTCCGGAGGCCCCTGCCTCACATCCTTCCTCATAGAGGTGCACTGTGGTGGGCACGGATTGCTTCCGCGTGCCCACCATCTAGACCTCCCACTCCTCGTAGCAGTGCCCCAATCTCCCTTTGGAGACATGGTTTGTGGGCTTGCCCCCATCCCTTCTATGACCAGCTTGGGACCTCAGCCTGGCCAATCAGAGCATTCCATCTCTCTGGCCATAGTGGCTGATACAGAGATTGACACATGACCCAGGGGAGTGCACTGAGATCCACCCCACAACTTTTGCTGGAACTATCAGGAAAGGGCCATCCTTTTCCACTGAGGTCACCAAGCTTGGAGCTGCTGGTGGCCTCCTCTGCCACCACAGGAGACAGCCTGCCTGAGGATGAAGCCAACATGAAGGAAAGCAGAGTGAGGGACAGAGACAGATTCCTGGTGACATTGTTTAAGCACCTGGATCCAGCTGTACCTGAAGTCATCCCAGAAATCTATTCCTCGACTTTTCCATTACATGGGCCTATAAATTTACTCTTTTGCTAAAGCCAGTTTGAACTGGAGTTCTTTTACTTGTAAGTGAAAGAAATCTAAGTTTCTTTCCAAATCAAAGAGCTCCTTTACCAACCACAGGTGGCAGGTCCACCAAAGCTTCGCCATCTGGCTTGTTAGAAGGATGGCCTGGGCCTGGATGAGCCACAGGTATCATTAACCCAACACAACTTTGAAGAGTTTCACTCCTCATGGTTTCTTGTTTCCCTTTAAAGATTTATAAATACATGAAAGGACGTCAAGCCCAAAAGGCAGCAACCCACTGTTTGCAAAGCCCTGTGAACAGGCACTTTGTTTAGTCAATCAACCAACCTTCCTTCACTCTTCCTCCATTTAGTCCCTGCAATGGGTTATAAATAAGGGTTTGCCCGGGCCCGGATCCTCAGAGAGATAAGAATCTCACCTTGGGTGCTCTTCTGTATTCACTTCCCCTCCAGGTGAGCATGAAGCGGTCTCCTCTCTGAACCCATGGCCTCCCTTCCTCCCTGCAGACCCTCGTACCTCCCCCCGCCCCCGACCCACAGATTGCTTGATGGGCTCCACTTGGTCTCGAGAAACACTCACTGAGGTGACAGGGCACCTACAATGCACAGAGCTCTGGGGACACAGGGGTGACAAGACAGCGCACCCGCTTGCCTTCCTGAGGGCAGGCAGTAAAAAGCAAGACCGCCCGTGAGAGCACTCAGCTCGGGGCCGGGGAGCCCCGTCTTACCTCTGCCTGCCGGACCCCGAGCACATCTGACACCGCCGGGCGGGCCTGGCTCTGCGCTTGGCCCGGCTGCATGCGGGGCACCGCACCTGCGGACACACGTGGCCTCAGCCCTCGCCCGCCTCCCGGGGAGCAGGCAAAGGGCAACCTGAGACCTGGTTCCAAGCCAGCCTGTGACCTTCCCCAAGCTGTCACTTCCCTACTTGCTCTCCCTGGGCCTCGCCCCTTGTCTGTAAAATGTAGTGTACCTTTGGACCCCTCCAGTTGTAGCTTCAGAGACTCTGCATCCTCACATCCCTGTTTCTCCTGAGACCTCAGCCTCTCCTGCTCTTCTCTCAACCCCATGACCCTTGGGACCGTCCCCTGACCAAACAGCCACGGCCGGGGCGGGGGGAGGGGGGCAGGCTGGCCCTCCCTGGTGCTGGAGAAGCCCCCAGAGATGGACCAGGCTATGCCCTCACAGTGGGCTTGGGGTGTGCTCCGGAGACATTCCAGGGAAAGCCTGAGGGACAAGGGGGGAGGAGGAGGAGGGGCGGGAGGGAGCAGCAAAGGCCACCAGCAAAGGCCACCAGCAAAGGCCACCGGAGGACACAGAGCAGGTGCAGCCACCGCGGAGCCCCACGGTGGGTGCGGAGCGGGTAGAGGGACGAGCACGCAGCAGGCGGAAGGTGGGTGCAAGGGCGCGTGGGCAGAGAGAGGACAGAGGAGGCCGGTTTACTGCAGCAAGTGGTCAGTGTGTGTCCAAGGGGTTAGGCACAAACAGGGAGGTGGGGAGAGCTGAGAACACGCGAGGGGCGTGGACTTACTGCCGGGAAGGCTAGTAGCCTAGAGGATCCTGCAAAGAACGCTGAGGCCACGAGGGCCTGGCTGGCGCTGAGGGGCCCGCGCGGGGCTGAATAGTATACGTGGTTGTCCCCGCTCCGATTTACATCTTCCAGAACCTCAGAATGTGACCTTATTTGGAACTCATCTTTGCAGATGTAATTAGTAAAGGTGAGGTCATACTGCAGAAGGGTGGGCCCTACATCCAATGACTCGTGTCCCTATGGGAAGCCCGTGAGGAGACAGAGACACACACAGAGAAGCCAGGAAGCAACACGGAGGCAGAGATGGGGGTGAGGCAGCTATAAGCCAAGGACTGCCAGCCGCTGCCAGGAGCCAGGAGGAAGGCATGAGATGGCTCTTAACCCTGCCGACACCTTGGTATTGGACATCCAGCCTCCAGAACTCTTAGGGGAATAAATTTGCTGCTTTAAGCCACCCAGTTTGTGGTCATTTATTACGGCAGCCCCAGGAAGCTAATCCAAGGCCCGAGTCTATTGTGTCCCTCAAAGGCCCTGAACTTCACTTCTCGGCCAGCACGGGCCCCTGCACTACAAGTGCTGGTCACTTGCCAGTCTGCCCCTCGGACAGAGGGTCCCTGTGAGAAGGACCCCAGGTCTCAGTCCTCCTGCACCCAGCAGGTACTCAATACATGTTTGTAGGTGGAGGAGAAAAGGAGAGAAGAATGAAAATCATAAACCATCAAAGGGAAATAAGGTCAATAGAGACCACCCACTCCAACATTCCCATTTTACAGGTAGGGAGATGGAGGCCCGGAGAGGGAGGATGACTTGTTGGAGGGCCCACTGTTGGCGCAGGGAGCCCCAGGCTGCCAGCCCAGCCCTCCATCCCCACATGGCCCTGCTCCACATCACGTACTCACCAACGGCCACATGTGACTCACCGTGCCGGCCCCGTGGCAGCTGCTGCACTTGTAGCGCCCGTGCCCGTGGCATTTGTGGCATTCCTGAGAGTGAACGCTCTCCTTGGTCTGGTTTTCCAAGTACCAGCAGCTCCTGATTTCACCAACCCCACCCCCATGATGTCAGCATCCCACGTCGAGGTATAACAATTCAGGCCATGGTGGGAAGACGACCATTTGTGACTAGGCTTCCAAAGGGCCTTGAACACCAAGCCAAGGAGATCACATTACCATCCCCTCAGAGCCTCAGCCCAGTCGGTCCTGGATGCTAAGACGGGGAGACCAGGTCTCCGACTACCATGTCCTAACTCACACTCCCAGCCTAAACCACAAAAGCCAGTATCCTTTGCCCATTAGGTGGCTAAAGTGGTCTTTGGGAATAGAAGCCATAAAAAAACAGAGGGTGTTTTTGCAAAAGGCAGCGAGCGAGCTACTGGAATTCAATGGCTGAATCAAAACAGCTTTTCCACCCTGGAGAACAGAATGAAACACTCTCTTGATCTCTCAAAGTCCTCTTCGTCTTATGATGCTATGAAAACTCAGAGGGTAAAATGATACGCTTGAATCAAGTTCTAAAGTGAAAACAAGGCAGTTAATTAGATGAGCACATAACATAAAACATCTCAGCTGTGGTTCTGTAACACATTAGGTTACCCTCACTACCTGTCCTGATTATATTTCTGTAAAACAGCGTGAATGTCAAATTCTACTCCCCTAATGACTTCCATAAAAAAAAATCCCAGGGATGCTTTAATTTTATATGTTTCATTCAGCTGTTTCCCAACAGGTCAAAAAAATTAAAAAGACAAAAACCCTCAGATGGTGTAGGAACGTGAATGCTCGCTATTTAAATCTGGTGACAATTTCGTACCATCCTGTTGCTATGTGAACGCTCCCTAATTTGCACGGAATTTCGTAGGGGACTACATCCCATACGCTGGGTTTTCTTACAATTCTGCTTATTTGATGGGCAAGGAATAAACCACCAGCCTGGATTTTGGGTTTCCTTTTTCAAAGGATAAAGTTTGAAGAAACTACGGTGCCCGGAAAACCAGCTCCGAGAGAAGGGCAGAGACTCCAATGAACACATTACCTTGACCAACGATGAGTGAGGGACTTGGAACTTCCTGGTATCTTCCTGAAACATCGGGGGAACCTGGACCTTGATGTCCCAAAGCCTGGGGGAGGTCCCTCTTTGTGGCCCATCCACGGAGTGGTCTGACAGAGAAAGGGGCTGTTCAAAGAGCAGCAAATGGCTGCAAGGACCAGCCTTCATTTATTCACAAAATAGTACGGAGCCTTCACCTGGTGCAGGCGTTAAGCTAGAACCTGGGGCCGAGGGACTGGTAGGTAAGGGTCCCCTTAGAGCCTGTGGCTGGGCAGCCAAGCGTCGGAGTTGAACAGACCCGGCTGACTCCTGCTTCTTGTACTTCCTGGCTGCGGAACTCGACACCAGCTCCTCCACCTATATACACCTCTCTGCCCTGCAATCCTCTCCTCTCTAACCAGGGATAACGGTGGCACCTACCATGGAGAACGGTAGTAAAACTGAACAGCAGAAGGCGTACCAAAGCTTAGCCCAGGGCTGGTACATGCCGAGGGATCAATAAACCAGGATTGTCTTCACTGCTGTCACCATCCCCACCATCTTCTTTCTCCTCCTCCGTCCAAGGAGAGAGACTACATCACAATACAACAGAATATGACATGGTAAGTGCTTTGGACAAGAGCTGCATAAGGCGTTCTGAAAAACTCAGAAGACTGACTCATTCTGCTGGGGAGGGGACAGCAGGGAAGAAATCCTCAAAGGCTTCATAAAAGAGGGGACCCTTGAGCTAAGTCTCGAAGGATGAACCAGAAAACAGATAGGGCACAGAGCTTCCCAGAAAGAGAGCCTTAAGCCTCTACGGGGTCCAGCAGAGGTGACACAGCACACTGAATGGGGTGGGGATCTAGAGACTCGGGGAGGCGCTGGGGGTGGCCCAGGAGGCAGGTAGACGCCCGAGCACGCTGGCTGCCTTTGCAGTCTGGCCCCGTGTGGCAGCACCAGCCTGTGGCCAAACGCAAACACTAGACTTTTGCAGGACCTCCTGCAAGCCACTTCCTGGACAGGAAGCGTCTGCTAACGTCAGCCCTGGAAGGTCTCCAGGAGGAAAGGCCACCCTCTCTTTTTATGGGGGATGGGAAACTGAGGCTCCGAGCAGCAGAGCATCTTCCTCGGGGTTGGCGGCTAAGCCAAGTCCTGACATTCTCCACCAATCCCGGCCATATTCACTCCGAATTAAACTGATTTCAGACAACTCACTTACTGGTAAAGGGCCGAAAAGTCCATTCACTTATCCTGGATTCACTGAAGGTTTCTAGTCGATACTACAAAGGAAAAATAGTGTGTTCACACTCGTGCCCTTAGAAGACAGAGCCTCATGAGAAAGGATGAAGCTCCCCACCCCTGGGCTCAGCAGGGAGAACAGAAGTTCCCAAGCACGGCCAGCGCCCGAGGGCTGCTCAGAACAGGCTGGCAGCAGCGAGGACTCGCGTCGCAGATGCCCTGGGACATACCTGCCGGGGGTCGTTCAGCCCCAGGAAACCTCCCCTGACAGACACACCACTGGGCACCTTCAGGATAATGTGTATAATTTCTTTATACACAGAAACGGTCTATGAGGCAAGTTCTGAAGCAAAAATTGCCCTCTGACAGATGGAGGCTGCTGGAATCAGCCACTCCGAGCACCCCTGGGGGAATGTATCTGCCTGAGGTCGAGATCCTCCTTCTTGATCCTCATCCACGGGATCTCGGACATCGCCTGGCTCCTCCTTTTCCATGTGAGGAAAGGGATGCTCAGAGAGGTCAGGTGACTTTCCCAAGGTCACACAGCTACACAGAGACCTCGTACCTCAAATCCCTGCTCTGACCACTCCCTGCGAGGCTGATTTCTGCAACTGTGTGCCCTCCAGGGGACGGCTATGCCAGTGACACTAGGAAATGTGAACTTCAACTTGTCCCTGTCAAGGCAGAAGGTGACACAGGTGGGGTCACCTTGTGTGGTCTTGGTACCAAGCACAGGACCTCCCTGGAGCCTCCGGCTTGGGGGTGATGAATAAATACCCCTGGCACAGATGAAACTTGGGGGAGGCAGAGGGAGCTGGGATCAGGGGAGGAGACGGCCCGTTCCAGGCCACCCCTCCAGGAAGCAGGTAAGTTGTGTCTTTAAAAACAGGGCTTCGGTGCCCGCAAACCTGTGTTTGAATCCCAGCTCGGTCACTTCTAGCTGCGTGTTTGGGGGCAAGTAACTCCACCTCTCTAAATGTCCAATTCCTCCTAACTGGTGACGATGATACCTACCATGAAGGGTAGCTATGAGGATTCGGTGCGACATACAGGTAATGCGCTATCCATGACGCCTAGGGCATTCGAGCTGTTCTCTGGTGATTGACAACCATGATTCCTCGTATTATAACTCACTACAATGTCACCGCTATTCACACGCACTGTTCCCCAAGACTCCTTTCTCCCCGGCCTCGCCAGGCGCCCTCCGGCCAGCCCTCACCCTGCGCAGGACCTGCTGCTTCAGCTCCAGGATGACGAGGTCACCGGCGGCCGCACTGCTGTAGCAGCACTTGGAGTCCACGAAGCTGAGGAGGGCTTCCCGGGCCACCTCCTCTGTCACCACGGGGACTCTGGTGGGGACCGAGCAGAGGGGCGGTGGGTCGGGGAGAGCCTGCGGGCTCACCCAGGCCAGCCAGCCCCCTCACGGTGCCAATGGAAACTAAGGCCCGGAGACAGGGGTCCCCCGGCCGTGTCCACAGCAGTGGTAGAGCCCTCGGACATCCAGCTGGTGAGCGCATCTCCGGCATCAGGAACTGTGTGAACAGATGCCCAGTGGGAAAGTGGCAGGTCCTTCTAGAGGACAGCAAAACCACTTTAGCTGAGGTCTGGAGCTGCGGAGAAGGGCTGATGGGGTCTTAGAACTCAAATGAAAAAACAGAAACAAAACACTGAAAGATGAATTATGCCACTTTACAGATAAGGAAAACTGAGGTCCAGAGAAGATGTCACACAGCTAGGAGGAGGCAGAGTTAGGACTAGACGAGGTTCCTGCCCTCTGGGACGTTGACTTCAGCCAGAGGAATTGTGAGTAACGCCCAGGGGAAGACCCCAGCCGAGAACCTTCTGACAGTGGCGCCCACAGAGACCCGCCGTGAGCCTGCTGGACGGCAGTGGTGCAGGCTGGGAGGGCAGACTAGGAAGGACCCTTTCTCGGCCCCCTCTCGGGACACCTCTCCTCCTCCTGGAAGACTCCCCTGAGGCCCAACTGCCCTGTCCCTCCTCGGCAAAGCCCTCCCGCCAATGCCATGAGCTGAGGCCCCTTCCTCCGCCCTGCCTCCCATCTTCACATTCTTCTCCACGGCAGCCTGCCTCCAAATGTAAGCCCTCACCAACGCACGCTGTGTCGCCGACACCCCCGGCCCAGCGCACAGAGGGCCCGTGTGCCCACAGACAGTGCCCAGCAGATGGAGGGCGTGGGCGCAGCAGTGGCCAGGACGACTCCACGGAAGAAGGGGCGTCTGCAGGCACGCAGGGAGGGCGGCCAGGGAGGAGAAGGGAGGGGGTCCAGGCAGCAGCGGGGCCAGAAGCACCGGGAAGGCACCCTAGACGGCAGGACACGGCCACCCTGGACCCAGAGTGGGCACGGCTCCTCCTCCTGTCCGCACAAAGCTGGCCGGACAGCCGGAGCCCTGCCCCAGGTCCTCCAAGCAAGCGGACTTTCGGTAAAGGGCGAGATAGGAAATACTTTAGGCTTTGCGGGCCACGTGGCCTCTGTGTCACCACTCAGCTCCTCTGTCACGGGGTAAAAGCAGCCACAGACAGTAAGGAAACAAAAACACACGGCCGTGTGCCAATAAAACCTGACAGACAAAAAGAGGCAGTGAGCTGGATCTGGCCCGGGGGCCGTAGTTTGCAACCCCTGATCTAGACTAGAGTTTTCAACCCTGGCTTGGTAGCCAAACAACCTGAAGAGCTTGGAAAAATACACACTCCCAGGCTCCATCCCTGGAGACTCTGGTCCACTGGGTCTGGAGTCCTGATGCACTGTCTGGGTTGAAATCTGTGGCCCCTGAGATCCCCGAGGAGGGCTGTCGGGGGACAAAGGTGACCTGAGGATCATCTCGCGTGACCCCGCGCAATGGCTCCGTGGGGGCTGCCAGGGCTCACCTGTGTTCCAGAAACGAAGACCAGCACCTTTGTTCCCGGGGCCTCCCCGGGGCCTCCGAAGGTGGGAAGAATATCTGGCATCCTGGGTTCCAAGACCGGCAGCATCCTGGTCGTAGGTGGAGATGGACGTGGTCACGGAATGTCCATGGACACAGGGCCTACGCCCCATCCTCCCGTTCCCTCCCAATGGCGACAAGGGGCTTCCCAGGGCCCCCAGGGGACAGGGGAGCTCTCCCAGCCCGGCCTGTTCCAGAGATGCCCGCACAACAGCATAGGCCCCAGGAAGAAGCTGCGGGACCCAAGCCCCCAGGGACACAGACTCACTGTCCCCTTGAAGAAGGCAGTCACAGCTGGGCAGCCTCTCCAGGAGTTCAGCCGGGGGCGCCAGAGGACTCTCGGCCTCGAAGCTGAGGTCCATCACACCTGGGGAAGAACGGGCAGTGCTGAGCCTCGGGGAGGAGGGGGTGGAAGGCGACTCCTGTCAGCTACCTGATGGGTGAGGGCAGGTGCGTCGTAGAGAGGCTCACGGTTTCAGTCAGTCTCACTCCGGCCCCCTCACGACACACAACATATGTGTAGGGCGGCCAGCAATGGGGTTGGGGGTATGACAGTAGCAGCAGTAATAATAATGATGAGACAAACATTCGGAAGGGCAGCTCCTATCTGCTGGGCACCTACTCTGTGCCAGTCAGCGGGACAGGTGCGGTATAAACGGTATCATATTCCCCAGCCCTAGGAGACAGACACTGAATAACAGATGGGCACACTTCTCTGCTGCTCCTCTCATCAACAGACAGGTCTCCGTTTCCTCCCCTTGAACCTGGGCAGGCTTGTGACCGCTTCAGCAAGGGAACACAGCAAGCAAAGAAGAGACTGCAGCTCCTACTTCTGGCCTCCTGAAGCCGTCCCTCTTGATGCCTAAGCTGCCAGGTAAGACGTTAGACTATCCCGCTGGAGAGGCCACGAGCAAATGCCCTGAGACTACGTGGGGAGGGGCCCAGTGGAGCCTGGCCTTCCAGCCACCCTGCCAAGCCACCAGGAACATGAGCAAAGCCATCTTGGACCCTCCAGTCCAGAGCAGCTGTCTGCTGAATACACTGAGGGACCCTTTCATGGACTGCATGTCTGCATCCCCCCAAATTCATATGTTGAAACCCACAGCCCCAGTAGAGCTGGGTTTTGGGGGGTTTTGTTAACACTTTAAAAAAAATATATTTATTTATTTGTTTGTTTCTGGCTGTGTTGGGTCTTCGTTGCTGCACTTGGGCTTTCTCTAGTTGCGGCGAGCGGGGGCTACTCTTTGTTGCGGTGCGCGGGCTTCTCATTGCAGCGGCTTCTCTTGTTGTGGGGCACGGGCTCTAGGTGCGTGGGCTTCAGTAGTTGTGGCACACAGGCTCAGTGGTTGTGGCTCGCGGGCTCTAGAGTGCAGGCTCAGTAGTTGTGATGCACGGGCTTAGTTGCTCCGCGGCATATGGGATCTTCCCAGATCAGGGCTCGAACCCGTGTCCCCTGCAGTGGCAGGCGGATTCTTAACCCCTGCACCACCAGGGAAGCCCTTGGGAGGGGATTAGGTTTAAATGAGGTCTTACGGATGGAGCCCACGATGGGATCAAGGTCCTTATAAGAAGAGAAAGAGGCTAGGGCTCTCTCGCCCTCTCTACTATGTGAGCAGCACCCAGTGAGAAGGCGGCTGTCTACAAGCCAGAAGTGGGCCCTCACCAGATGCTGGGTCTGCTGATGCCTTGACCTTGGACTTCCCAGCCTCCAGAACTGTAAGAAATAAATGCTTGTTGTTTAAGCCAACCCAGTCTATCTATGGTGTTTTTGTTACAGAAGCTTGAACCAACACAGACCCTAATCAGTTACAACACGGAGCACCCACCTGAGCCCTGTTGAAATTTCTGATCCACAAATCATGAAATATATTAAAGTGGTTGTTGTTTTAAGGCACTGGGATGCGGGACAGTAGGTCATGCAGCTTCCTCCATCAGGCAGTCTTTACTGTGAGACTCTCCCCAGACCCACACAAGACTTTCTTGGAGCCACACCAGGGTCTCAGGCTCCCCTGCTGCCCCCTCTCCTCTCACAGGTGTCTGACCTACACTGTGGTCCAAAGACGGTCCCTGACTACGCCTGCCCCTTCTCCCCCTTTCCCTTCACAGGTCTCCAAGGGACGTCTGGCATGTCTCAGGCCATCTTGGTGTCTGCTTCTTGGACGACCCAAACTGACACGCCAGCACAGCCACATTCTACCAATGTGACTCGCGCAAGATCGCCCAGCCAGTCAGTGATAGAGTTGGATTCAAACCAAGGTTCTTCTCTCTCCAAAGCTGCTGTTCTTTTCCAAGTACTTTTTACAAGGCAAACCCTATGGAAGAAGCACTGATTATATAACTGTTTTTAAAACCTCATCTTGATCTGTCAGGCTGTGACATCTATACATAGGGACTGAGACTCCAAGTAGGAAAGCATAATATTAGAAGTGGCTCCTGGAAACTCAGGACTACTCACGAAGCACCTCCCACACCTGATGCCTCACCCCACCATCCCACCTAGAGGTGTGGAAGGCAGGGCGTCTAGCTCCACTTAACACGAGGAGTCTGAGCCTCAGAGAGGTTACTCCAGTACTCCTAGGGTGCACAGCGCTGGAGTTAGAGCAGGCCAGAGGCTCCTTGCTCCACTTCCAGCCCAGTGGGCCACCTGTCAAACCTGTTCCGTGAAGTCCCCAGGCTGGGGGACAAGGATCCCTCAACTGTGTCTTTCTAGTGGCCGGTTGACCACAGGAAGTTGACTTTAAAGGGCGAGCTGATAAACGGTCAGTGGAAGGGGATTTTCTCTGCATTAAGTCACTGAAGGCCACTTGGGTCAAACTTCCAGCTGATCGACCTCATCTCCGAGATCCTCCTCTTTTCTGCAGCTCTCTAAAACCTATAGCTCTTTATCACTACAAAAAACAAAGATATTATGTCCTGTTCTTTAGAGTTTAATAAAAGCAGAGGCCAGAAGAATAAGCAGATCTTGTTCAAAACCGGAACAGCTTAGGTTATCTGGAAGCAGAGACAAGACGTTGGACGGTGAAGAAGACTGAGATTCTGGCATTCATGGCCGAGAACAGTGAGGGAGGAGGCGGTGTCATTGAAACAAATTAACAACCCTGCTCTACCACCCCTCCCCCATGAGGGGTGCACTTGTCCTCTGATAATAAGCACTACATATGCGTCTCTAAGGTTCTGTCTCCTTGCAGGAAACTTCCAAAGGAAGCTGAAATAGAAGAACATTTGTGGATATAGAGAGTACCTTTCTTAGCAGGAAAGCTTATCTTTGTAAGCAAATGATTCTGCCAAGAAGCAGGTGAGAGGCCTGGGACGCATGCGGGTGCGATGTGAAGTGACGTCATCCCAAAGCGGCAACGCCTGCCAATGTGTCCTGAAATCCCCAGGATGAGATTTCCCCCGGAATTATTCTTCGAACCTTGGTTCTCAATATTGTTTCGCTTCTAATAAGTTTATTAGCATTCTCTGCTACTCCAGCCACCGGGGACCCAGAGATCAGCAAACATTTTCTACAAACAGCCAGGTGGTAAACAGTTCAGGCTATGGGCTGTACAGTCTGTCTTAGTTACTCACCTCGGCCGTAGTGCCCTGAAAGCAGCTATAGGCAACAGACAACTGAATAAGTGTGGCTCGTTCCAATTCAACTACAAAACAGGCGGTGGGTCAGCTTTGGTCCGTGAGGCGTATTTTGCCCACCCTGACCTGACACCCACCTGTGCGGGGGCACTCTGAGGGGGATCCGGAAGGTGGCGGCTGGAATTTGAACCTGTCTGGGGCAGGGTCCATGCAGTGTCTGTGAGCGCAGTTAAAAGAATTAAAGGTGAGGGGCAGGGTTGGACTGCAGCCAGGATGGGGATGGGGGTGACTGCACTCAGAATCCCTGGGCATTGTGTTGAGGAACCCGGGCTCCGATATGCTGCCGTCTGAGCCAGGTAACACATGGCACTGTGCCGGACACTCATCCTCCCAGCGCTCAACTCCTCCAGCTGGGAAAGAGAGCGGGTGGTATTAGGGCCCACCTAACGAGACAATGTGGATACAGCTCTCAGCCCCGAGCCTGGCATGTAATAAATGTTCGGTCAGTGCCTTGGACCGAGGAGGGCGGGTCTTCCTCTTTCCTGGTGCTCCTTTAAGCCAGTGCACAAGAGTGAAAATGTCAAGCGTGGAAAGAAAGGCAAGGCCATCACAGCCCCCTCCCCTGGGAGGGCCCCCGCCTGCCCGGAAGTCTTGTCTCCGCTGGGGCATCAGTGCTCCCCTGGACAAGAAGACGCCACGTGGCTGCTCTGTCCTGCTGGAAACCCAACAACAGTGCAGGAAGACGGGAAGAATGAGAGGTGGGGCGCTCAGAGCTCCATCCATCAGCTGGGAGCCACAATGACCTCTGGCAACTCATCAGAGCTAAATTAAACTCCCCATTATGTTGCGGACGAAAATAAAGGCCTCCAGGCTGAAGCACGGGCAGACACGTCATTTCCTGGGCAGATCTCAGCGGGCACAACAGGAATGCGGACGTCACGGGACATTGTGTGGCGCCCAGCGTGGGGTGCTCCGATGGGGGCCACCAGCCGCGTCACCGTTTCCACGGTGTTGGGCTGAGTTCCAGGGTGGCCGTCCAGCTGGACCACTGCCCCCTAATTCACGCACTGCCTCGGTGAGGGACGCTCCATGATCTCTCTTGCACCTCATGACAACCACTGTTTTCCCCATTTAGTAGAAGGACGAGATGAGGCTCAGAGATGTGATTTGAGACAGCAAAAGCTCACGGGCTCATAGCAGAGACAGAAACAGTACTTAGAACTCAGAGCCTGACTCCAAGCCCCAAGGCCTTTCTACTCAGGTGAATACCCCAGTGCTCCAGGCACACACGTCGAGTGGTTGCCGAGAGAGCTTTGCAAAGTGCCACCCAGGTCATGTTTCTGCTCACCAGATGCCAGCTATTTTTCTTTTGTATAGGAAGGAGTTTTTCTGGTGGAGAAAGGCACAATTCGTGGATGACCCCCTTATCTTTCTCTTTTTTTTTTTGGCGGTACGCGGGCCTCTCACTGTTGTGGCCTCTCCCGTTGCGGAGCACAGGCTCCGGACGCACAGGTTCAGCGGCCATGGCTCACGGGCCCAGCCGCTCCGCGGCATGTGGGATCTTCCCGGACCGGGGCACGAACCCGTGTCCCCTGCATCGGCAGGCGGACTCTCAACCACTGCGCCACCAGGGAAGCCCTATCTTTCTCTTTTTAAAATGCCATTCCCTTGATTTCAGGTGATCAAAGGAGTGCACGTCTCCTGCCCCTGATTAATCATTGTTGAAGCACTGAAATCCGACAGAGGTGGTGCTGAAAGTGACTTCCAAGTGGATGCAACACCCAGAATGTCCCTATCCATGCCTA